ACTTTTTGATGTCTTACACTTCTAACAATTTTTCCTATGTAATTTTTATGTTAAAGAATGTAACTGTCTCCATTTCATTTTCAGACTGTTTACTTCTCATGTGTAGATACATAACTTTTACATAATGAGTTTGTGTCATACTTTACAGAACATCTGACTCATCTGGTATGCAAAAGAGACTTTGGAAGTGTTTGCAATAGGGCAAGGAGAGGCTCCTATTGCACATCATCTGGGAAAATGGATCAGTAACAAGGCTGCTGCTCATGAGCACCTACAATGGTATTTAATGCACTCAAAGCTATCAATGGCTCTAATGATAAAGAGAGACTAGAGTTCTCACTCTGACACTGACAGCTCTGGATGACTGGGACCTTGTCCACTGTATGGCCCCATCCCTCATCCTTCTTTCCCTGCCCTATGTCCTCCAACCTCCTCTGATCAATCACTATGCTTCTTTCTGCCTTAGTCTTTGCTTATACTGCATTTCTTGCTTGGTCACTACCCTGCCTTATTAGTAATAGTGGAAGACAGTTTTCTTCCTTGTAAAAAAAAAGTATATTTTTCAGTGTGTGTAAATTTCTGACTCTCCTGCTAATGTCTGATTTTTTGCCTCTGTGTCTTTAGTACCTCAAATAGCACCTGATCCATCACTGGAACTAAGTACAGGGAATAAACTGCATCAGGCGCTCATTGTTATGACACGCTTGTGGACACTTTCCTTCCAGAAACTACAGAAGGCAAAGGAGATTCTGACCAATGAAGAAAGCCCAGCCAGCTATGACCACTGATGAAGGAACCAGGTATTGGTACTGTTTCTAGCAATGGGAACCTTTGACCAACTCAGTGAAAATGAGTACCCTCATGAAGCCAAGCACTGTCAACACAGAAGCGAGTGATTTTCAGGCTGACACACCATGCTGCTCAGCATTGCTCTTGCATTCAACCTTTGAACTGCAAAGCATAATAAGTACCTGTATGGAAGTATCCCCACACCCACCAGCCATTATCTAAGAGCTGATCATGTAGAATAGCTACTTCATGAGTCAATGCCCTAGGTTGTACGACAGACAGACCTGATGCTACAAGAATCTCACCAGACTCATACCAAGATTAAAGATGAGGAACTGAATGTACAAAGGGAAATAAAGGAAGAGGAACTGGATTCAATGACAGAGAAAATGAAACAAAAAAAATCTGAGTCCCTTGAATAGTCCACAAAAATCCACATTCTCCAAATTTCTCATATATGAATTATTTTATTTCTGGGGATGCCCCACAATGGACTGCAGAAGAAGTTCATAAACTACAAAATGTAATATGCCCTGCTCTGTAAGAGGGAGAGAACAAGTCTGGTGCCTGCTGAGCAATCTGTAACTCTCATGTTTGTGGACTCTTCAGAATTGACTGATTCCTCCCATCTCTGAAGTCACTCTCACAATGGGGCTGCTTATAGGTTCTTAGAGCATTTTGAGGGTTTCTGACAGAGAAGAATGTTGGATTGTGATGTTGGTGCAGGTTCCACAGGTGGTAATCAACTAACATAGTATCAGAATATGATGCTTGTCTTTGGGATCAGCACATTAATTTAGAAAGGATTTAGGAATAAGAGAAATGAGTGTCAAGATAAAGAAGCCGTGTCTTTCTTGCTTCCCTCCAGCCCCTTCAGCTGTTTCCACTCAGACTTCCCTGCCTATCACCACTTGTTTCCACTGGTGTTGTCCAGCTGTAATATGTGCAGTGGATATGGGTGGGAGTGGTAGGACTTGGGCTAGAAAATTAGCTTTTATGTAGTAATCTTTGACTTTAGTGATGTTAAAAGCAGGCTGAAATGTGATTGTTATTACATTGGAAGGAGTTTGTATGTTAAAATATGCATAATGTTTACCTTTTTAACCATTTTAAATTGTGCCGATTGTGATACAGTAAAATTAATTAAAATTAGTTCCACATTCTTACCTTGATACATACCTGATGAAGCTGAAGTTCTGTTAATGGTGTCTCCATTTGCCCCAGAAGAAAATTTATCCTGTAAAAGGAAAAGATTGATGCTTTATCTTTAATAATAAAAATGTGTCATCTCTTAAAAAGTTAGTAATTCCCTCTTTTCCATGAGAATATATGAGGGAATACAGTCTAAGACACATACTGGATGTCTGAAACCATGGTATACACATGTATACACATGTACACAGACATATACAGTTTTTTCCTACACATAGCTACGAAAGTTTATAAATTAGGCACAGTAAGGGATAATAAAATATAAAAGTGCTTTTTCCCCTGTAGTGCTGCTTGGCCTGCAGGTCTGTGTAGGGCCGCGGACACTGGTCTGTATTACACAGGATGGGTTTTGTTAAGGTTGTCAAGAATAAGGCCTACTTTAAGAGATACCAAGTGAAGTTTACAAGACGACGAGAGGGAAAAACTGATTACTATGCTAGGAAACACTTGGTAATACAGGACAAAAATAAGTACAACACACCTAAATACAGGATGATAGTTCGTGTAATAGAGATATCATTTGTCAGATTGCTTATGCCCGTATTGAAGGGGATATGGGTGGTATATGCACATGAACTACCAAAGTATGGTGTGAAAGTTGGCCTAACAAATTATGCTGCAGCGTCTTGTACTGGCCTGCTGCTGGCCCACAGGCTTCTCAGTAGGTTTGGCATGTATAAGATCTACGAAGGCCAGGTGGAGGTGACTGGAGATGAACACAATGTGGAAAGCATTGATGGCAAACCTGGTGCCTTCACCTGCTGCTTGGATGCAGGCCTCGCCAGAACTACAACTGGCAATAAGGTTTTTGGAGCCCTAAAGGGTGCTGTGGATGGAGGCCTGTCTGTCCCTCACAGTACCAAATGATTCCCTGGTTATGATTCTGAAAGCAGGGAGTTCAATGCAGAAGTACATCGGAAGCACATCATGGGTCAGAATGTCGCAGACTATATGCACTACCTAATGGAAGACGAAGACGCTTAAAAGAAACAGTTTTCTCAGTACATGAAGAACAATGTAACTCCAGACATGATGGAGGAGATGTATAAGAAAGCTCATGCTGCTATACGAGAGAATCCAGTCTATGAAAGGAAGCTGAAGAGAGAAGTTAAAAAGAAGAGGTGGAATCGTCTCAAAATGTCCTTGCCCAGAATAAAGATCGGGTAGCTCAAAAGAAGGCAAGCTTCCTCAGAGCTCAGGAGCATGCTGCTGAGAATTAAACCAAATTTCTATGAAGATTTTTCAGATAAAGACCAATAAACTTATTCATCAAGAAAAAAATTTAAAAATAAAATATAAAAGTGATACTATGTACTTAATTATGTAAATATATTCTGTCAAACTTATTGTATTATACTTAGCATTCTTTTGAGGATGTGAGATGACACATCTCTGTAATAAGATGAAATGAATGACAAAGACATTGTGTTGTAGCATTAGGCTACTATTAACCTTCTGACAATCTCTCAGGAAAACTGGATACTTCACATAATCCTGAATCATCTTGATATACACCAGAATATCAATAATCCTTATATCTTGAATACACCAGAAAGGAGATGACTCACATTTGGTGGGACTGAGCAGGATGGATGGATATTTTATCATACTACTTGAAACAGCACACAATTTAAAACTTACTGTTTATTTCTGAAATTTTCCATGTAATATTTTTGGACCATGGCTGACTACTAATAATTGAAACCACAGAAATCAACATCATGGATAAAGGGAGATTGTTGTATAACAATTAAGCTTAGTTCAAGACAAATCAATGGCACACAATAAGGTTTTCTAAATCATTGGATATTTTTTATGTATTCCAAGAAACATTCACTTTAGCACTGAAGTAGAATACATTTAACATAGTACTTAAAATAGCATAGCCATGAACCAAATTATGTGGGCCACTCATTTCTGTAAACAGTTTTACCTGAGCTCAGCCATCCTCTTTCACCTATATATGCCTGTGAGTAATCTTACACTACAACAGCAAAATTGTGGGTTTAGACTGTAAGGTCTGCAAAATCTACATTATTTACTATTTGGCACTTTACATAAAGGGTTTTCTGAAACCTGACTTTAAAACTTAGTCATTTAAGTCACCCATATACTTGAAAAGTATAATCAAATACTATTATATAAGTAAAACCTGAGGCTATCACGCCTCTTCACAACAGTCCGCCCTTATGCTATAAGGCAGAAATGATGAACCTATGGCATGTGGTGCAACAGGGTGCTTGTGTCACTGAAAGCTCTAAAAGCCTCACCATCACGGCTGCAGAAAGTACTTCTTTTCCTTTTACTTGGCCCAAACTCTGCAGAGGCTGTTTCTTTTCCTACCTTAGTTAAACTTTGCTGCCATTAAAAAGATAATAAAATCTGACAAAAGGAATATGTAGGTAAATCAATCTCTGTTAATATTCATCAATGCTGTACAGACCCGTAGAATGCAGAATAAAATTAGTGGGTGATAGTCTCTACCGCAGGGAAATTTACTTTACTCAGCACAGTGGTGCATGGCTATAATCACAGCACTTGAGAAGCCAAGAAAGGATGATTGTGAATTTGAGACCAGCCTGGGCTACGTAGTACAGCCCTGTCTAAAAAAAAAAGTAAGACACTGAAAAATGAAATTTAAAATTTTTCCATTGTCAGCTATAGATCAGAATATTCATGGTTAATTTCAATTAAATTTGAGCAGTTCAAGATTGTCCTCAATGATCTCAAGTCTATTCCATTTTTCCTACTTTCATCTCAAAAAAACCATTTGCTATCAATGAACATGCATCACCATGGCAGTGGTATGGCTAGACTTAGAAAATTCTACTCTTGTTATAAAATCAATAGCTGAACGTCAAGTCAACTTTGGGAACTTCCAACATTTTTCAGGATCTCTTTGATTAAAGACAATTTCAGTCATTTTCCTCAAAACTAAATCTAATGATATCCTATATCATTAACCATGCTTTTATTTCCTCTCCCATAAACTTCCTCTAATTAGGGAAAAACCTTGCTACTCATGCAAATGAAAATCAAAAGTCAATAATCTAAAAATGACCTACCGCAGATATTTTAGTCAACTTTCTACATTAGAACAATCACAATCTTCCTCCAAATAATTCATTTAAATAAGTCCCAAAGCTGGAAGGGATCTGCACCAAGGTGAGCAACTTCTTTTTTTTTTTTTTAAACAACTTCTAATAGTATTTATTTTCTGAAAAAAATTTTCCACATAAGACATCAAATGATTTTTCAAGCTATTGTACCTTTACAAGCCTCAGAAGTCATTCAAACATTTTTCTGAGTTGTCACTAAGGGCAAGAGGACAACAGCACCCTTGAAATGGCTTGGGTGTTTGATAACTGCAACGGAAAAAAAAAGTCCAATTTATTACTGCCAGACATTAAAATAAAGAACAATGGTCCAATTTTCCCTACAGTGAAATCCTGAAGACATTTTTGTTTCTAGTAGCCACAGGTCTACTGAGTGAATAGGGCCAAAAAAAGGCTGGCTTTAAATGTGTTGTAAAATATAAATGACAATGGTGTGCTATTTAACATCCCCCACACACTCAACTCACAAGTTCCAAGGCAATTTTTGAAAAATTAAATTTTTTTAGAATTTGTTCCATCATAAACAGATTTAGATCTTACACAGGTATATAGAGACAGATATGGAAAGAGATTATAAATAAATGGAGTAGAATATTAATAGTAGATATGTATTTCTAGGGCTGGGGAGATAGTTCAGTGGCATAAAAGCCTGCCTAGCAAGCACAAGGCCTGGAGTTCTATCCCCAGTACTGCCAAATTTAAAAAAAAAAAAAAAAAAGCAGCTTTATAGTTCTAAAGACTTTTTTTTTAGCACTATTCTAATTCTTACAAATTTTCCCCATAAATTTAAAATTATTTCCCAGTAAGATTTTTTTGTGTGTGTGCAGGGTCACACTACACATCTCAGACTTGTAGTGATCCTCCTGATTTCTGCCTCCCTAGTGCTGGGATTACAGGCATGAGCCACCACACCCAGACTCCATTGGTTGGCTTAGCGTGCCTGGGGGCAGGGCCGACGCGGAATGCAGAGCCAGGGATCGAACCCTGGCCCCTGTGCTTACCTAAGTCCACTGAGCTATACCGCCAGCCCTTAAGACTTATTAAAGAAAAAAATTCTTCATCTTTTTTACTAACCTAAAAAAACCAAACATCACCTTCCCTTCCAGCAACTGAACTGCTTCTCTGCCTCTCTTTAAACTGGACAGATTATCTACAGCTGCTTCCGCTGATTTCTCATATCCCATATTTCCTAAAAGCAACTCTGACCAAGCTTCTATTCTCATCTCCGCATTGGAAATGCCTTAGTTCTGCTTTTCAGTACTGAAAACTTAATGCAGTGCCTTTATACTGAGCAATATTTCCACCCTTTTTATTACTTGAGTGTTTCTAAATTTCTTAAGCTGAGCTTGAACTTGCAATCCTCCTGCCTCAGCCTTCCAAAATACTAGAATTGCAGATATGCACCCATGACCCTTGCTTACAATGCTTTTTAAAGAAGGAAATTATGTAAGAAAATTACTGCTTCTGTGTTTCAACAGAGAGGTCTCTTAACAGCATCTGAAGGATTTTCTTTTTCTTTTTTTCTTTTGGCTGGTGCAAGATGCCTTAGGGGCACATCTGGTAAGAACTGAGGATCTGGGGATCGAACCACAGTATCCAGAGCCTGATTGATTTGCTTAAGCAGGCACTTAAACAACTGAGCTAATTGAGCAGGCCCCCCGCAGCATCTGAAATAATTTCATTTTCTTCCTGTGCTATTGGCCACTAATTCCAGCATAAATCAGGATTCATTACCATACAAACTGAAAATTTTTAAGAAAGGAAAAACTTTAGGAAACACTGTCAAGTAAATAACATTTCTACAAAAACAGCCCCTTAGAATACACTATCTTCCAAAGTACACTTTATTGGATTTTTTAAAATCAGAAGTGAAATCTCAAAAGCCACTCTTCTGCCCTTTCTCCATTAAGTGTCAGATAGGAAAAAAGATCTGATGATTTGTGGTACATCAAGTTGATAGCACCACTGAATCAGCCTAATAATCTTGAGAACTCTCCTACTATAAAAACAATCTTCAGATTTCAAAATATCATCCAGAATCAAATTATTTTCAGTTCTTTACATAAGTGGTCCTGAAACTTTCAACCATGTTTGTACAAGCTTGCTTTCACCTGTATGTCCTAAATCACGATTTAAATTACATTGTTAATGTTACATCTGTTTCAACTTTTAATTATCAAATTACCACAAACACATTAATATATTTTGAGGCTTATCCTGCTCCTCATTCTCCATCAAACTAACAATCATATGGAGATAGATTATAATTTAGAACATTCCTATCAGTTCCACTTTGACCTTTGATTAGAAAGCCACAGTGGGTCCTGGGAGATAGCTCAGTAGAGTAAGTGCTTGCCTGGCAAGCGCAAGGGCCTGAGTTCAATCTCTTGTTCCACCAAAACAAAACCAAAAAAAGAAAGAAAAAAGCCACAGCATTTGGCTGGCAAATGCCAGGCCTTGAATTTGATTTCCAATAGCACACACACACACACACAGTATTACCTTCTCAAATACAGGAACGTAGGACGACACATGAGGTTTGACGATTTCTGCTTCCCAATCTTCATCTCCCATGGTGGCTTCAGGCTGTATTAGTATTTTAAAAACATCCAATTTGGGTCTTGATTAGATCAAAATTTTCTATCCAACGTAGCTCAGTGACAAAGCAAACAAAACACGAGGCCACGATTTTAATCCCCATCATATAAACACACACACACACTGACATCTATTCAACTACTGCTATTCCTCTCAGAAGCTTTTTGAGAAAAAGAGGTCTTCCTACCTAGGCATGGCATTTGTATCTATCCACGCTTTTTATCTTCGAAAGACTGAATCACTTACCTAATCATTCTAGCCACTGCCACATCTAGCAGATGCTTAGGATTTTCCCCCAAAATCTGCTCCTCCTTCAGAGGATCTCCCACAGGGCTCATAGGCTATTAAAGGGGGGCGGGGGTGGGGTACTGGACAATATCCATGGTTTTTCCCTATGTGTGCTTTCCCCCTGGACTTCCTAAGCAAGTAAGATGTTCAGTTTCCAAGTTCTGTTGGAGAGGGCAGTTTGAAGGAAAGAACCACTGGAGACTGACAGGGCAGAGAAGTAAGAGGCTCAAATCCCCCCAACAAAGCACTGCTTGTTTCTTCCAGTAGGTGTATACGAACGGTACTACAACCATCTTACGTCAGAGAAGAGGCCCCCGTAGGCTCTGCGCCAAAGGCTCCTCCTCTTCCGCCTCTCCAGGCCTCAAATCCTTGCAGGAGGGAGGAGACCCACCAAGGACGTCCTCAAACCCCACCCGCCCCACTCACTGTTCATTTGGCCCAAAGTCCCAGGACTAGCAGGCCTGCGGGGCCTCGAGGAAAGGCCGCCAGCGAACTCACCTCTCCACTCCCGGCTCTCGCTCGATCCTCGCAGGCACGTGAACCACGTTTAAACGGCTGCACGTGCGGACGCTGATGCGTCAGGCACGCTGCTCCAACAGCCAATCATACCAGGTGGCGGGGAGCACCAGCGGCCAATCAGCGCTCAGACAGCGGGCGGTGTCCCGCCCCCCACGTCAGCCTTGGGGTTTGGCGCCTGCCAGCGTTCTAGGCTGCGGCCTCGGGATCTACTGGCCTTCGCCCCTTTGTGCCTGAGCAGAGAAGGCTGGCTGCCGGCCTGCCCCCCACTTTCCTTTACTCTGGCAATCTTCAGTCAGAAGAGGCGGCTCTAGGTTTTCTATGTGCCAGCAAAGCAAAGCATCTTTCGTCGCCTCCCTTTTTCCAAGACACGCAGAGACACAGCACTCACGGGAGAGTCCTGTCCCTTAGGTTTTCTCTCCCTTCCACCTCCCACAACCTCTAGTCGTTGGCCCTTCCGGTTCTTAATTTCTGAGACCTCGCTGCTCACCTGGTTAATCCAGGTGCCTCAATGTGCGGCTGAGGCAGGTGGACTTGTTGCATTCCCGATTCCAACCAATATAGGAAAGATGAGGCCGAGAGGGTCGGTGCGGGTGGTTCTCCAGGAAGTGATAAAGTTAGGCTGTCATACGAAGTTGAGTGTTTAACTGTGTAGGAAAGAACAACCTCGGATTTCAGGAGGAAGGAGAAGATTGGGGCTGGCATTGGTTCATCACTGCCTGATTTGTGATTCACCTCTTTATATCCCGAGGGGCAGTAATGGCCAATGGCCAAGGGTTGTTCCAATGCTGTCTAATGCTTAGATATTCTAGTCCTGCCCACCACCACCCCTAAAAACATTTTCCATCCTCTGGGTCTTTGAGAAAATTCCTTGATATCTTATACAGGACTATAATCCCTGCACAGTCTGATACTGTGGCGTGAAGATAAGGTGCTTAGGCTGCTTGGTTGCAACTCTTCATCTCTACAACTACCATTACTTTTTTTTAAGCACCAAGAATATGTTAGGATTTATCTAGTTAACAATGAATTTTGTAAGACTAGTCTCGCTCAGTATCTGCTTTACAATTTACCTGGTGAGCGCAAGGGCCTGAATTCAATCCCCAGTTCCGCAAAAAAAAAAAAAAGGGGGTAACATATAACAATACATATGTTACAGTTTTTCAAAACTAGAATAGCTGATAAACAGTGATTGATATATTATCTATTTTTATCGTCAAATCTTTTGTTCAGATTAACATATAATTATGCAAGATGGGTCATATGATTGAATATTACCACATGCTTTCAAGAAGTCTTAAATTCTTGTTCTTGTCTCACAGAAGTTTTGTTTCTTTGAATCTTGTTATGTATATTGAAAATTCCTCTATTGAATCTCTTCCTCAAATGTGTTAGTAGCACAATGGCTTTTTTTTTTTCCAGTGCTGGGTATTGAACCCACCTCACATGCATGCTGTGCACCACTGAGCTACATCCTTAGTCTATGTTGTATCTTGGAGCTATGGTATCCCTTCTCCCCTCCATTTTGTTTGATTTTACATGGCTATACTCTACAATATTTTGTAATTTCTCCTTAATGTATGGTTATGTGTACAGTACAGGGTTATAATATTTTCAAATATTTATGGAACCTAAAAGAGAAAATCTAGTGGTTTTGATTTGATGCAATTTTATGGGTCTATTAGTGAAATGAAAAAGTGTGTGTGTGTGTGTGTGTGTGTGCGTATGGTACTACGGATGAAACCCAGAGTTTCACACATGCTAGGCAAGCACTCTACTACTGAACTATATCCTAGGAAATAAAGCTAAGTCTTGACATGGTGCTAGGTATAGTCCACATCAGTTAAAAAGTCATTCAAATAACATGGAGATAATGCTGAAAATCCAAACAGAAGTCTGTAGGGATCCGTTGGTCTCAATCGGATTGGCTCTACCCAGGGAGAAACAACGGCAGGAATGACAAGAGATAGACAAGAAGACAAAAGCATGGCTAGGTGTTCCCTGGTCTGCCTAACAGGCAAAACTAACTGCACTCCACAATAAAATCAACTTTTATTTATACCTTTGCAAAGGTAACACAAGGTTGCCTAGTGACTAAGAGATGACCTTAACCAGACAGGATATTTATCTCAGGACTGAGGTAGCTTGTTTGCTTAGTCCCGCCTACACACATTTGATCAATTTCCTAGCTTCCCTGGCTCCCAACATTAGTCCTTCTTTGTATTTGCTATCCAACAAAGAAGCCTACAATGACCAAAGCCTTAACAACAAGCATGCTGTCAGAGATTTTACTCTTCCAAAAACAAGGCAAAAAGCAGCGAAGCTTTCAAGAATTACTAGAGCACAAGGAGCTAACTGAAAGGGGCTCTCACTGGCAAAATCTGGAACAACTTGAATATCAGGGTAAACAATAGTAATAACATTACAACCTGTTGGGTGAAACACCAACCCATGAGACAGATGGTTGTAAGTAAATAGGAAGGAAAATCTCTTTCAGCAGAATGCTAGTAAATTCGGAATAGAGATTTTTCTCACATTTTGTAACTATCACAGTAGTACTTTATTCCAGTTTACTAAAACTAGGAGCTGAAAGTGTAATGGAAAAAAGTTATATTGATAAGATCATAATGTGTGTCCATATAACTTAGTCACTTTCTTCATCAATGAGACAGAATATCCATGCTAAAAGGGGAGGTTCACTTTGGCTCAAGGACCAGTAGTTCCAGTCCGTGTTCCATGGTTTAAGGATAGAAATGCCATGGCAGAAGGGCCTCATGAAGGAAAGTTGCTCATATTATGGTGGCAGAGAAAGAAGGGGAGCCAGGGAGTGAGCCACACCCTTCCAGGGCACATTCCCAGTGAGCTGCCCCCTCTCACCGGCTCCACCTCCCAGCAGCAAGTCAGCTATAGCAGCACTCCGAGGGGCCAGGGACAGTGCTCCATCACAGCCCAGGACGTCTGGAAGCAAGAGGAAAAGCAGCAGTAATGTGAAGGGGACTTCTAGGCAGCACAGATCCATGTGAATTGTGTATTTGTGTCAAAGATGTGTAAGTCTGACTTTGTTGAACTTACAAGTGAATTCACCTTACCAACAACATTCTCCCAGAACAGAACTTGTTTGTAAGTTGAGGATTTACTGAAGCACAAACACATCTGCCACACTCTATTGGTCATAAGAAAGTAATAAGATGGGTCCACATTCAAGGACAGGGAGCTACAGAGTGCTGTGAAAACTGGAGGCCTGGATCACTGAATAGACGAGCTGGCTGTGATGTCCAGCGTGCATTACTTGACTCCATCAGCATTCACAAGTCCCTCTTCAACCCCAATAACCTGCATATTTGCTTTCAATGTTGTCCAGTGTCCTCATAAGCTGTCTTCATTCTGCTTCATTCTTTGGTCTCCTTTATTTCCAAATTGTCTTGGAGCTAATTAATTTTGCCTACTGTTCGATTTATTCCATTATTAATGCCTTCTTAATTCATTTTTATTTCACTTTATGTGTTTTTTAAACCCAAGGATTTGTGTTTGATTTTTAAAATTGCTTCCATCTTTATTAATTTTCCATTAGCGTATGAATTACATCTCTGTGTTAACTTGAAGTGTATTGAGTTTCCTTAAATGGGCTGCCTTAAATTCTCTGAGCCTGGACTTATACTGGTTATAAGCCAATTAGTTCCTGGCAACGTATTTTGATAATTAGATAAAGTCACAATTCCTTGAAAGTTCTTGATGCCTGTTGATTCTTGAGTATGAAAAGAAGAATTAGTTTGATTTGATTTGATTTGATCTGAAAGGATTAGGATTTAATATATTCCAGTTTTAGCAATCTGCCTTTGTACTTAGCTTTTCAAGAAATTCAAAAAAATTAATAAAAGATAAAAAAATGTAAAAGAAAAAGAAATTCAAGCAGGCTACTTATTTTCCCGGTGCCTATGGTCACTTTTACCCTTTTAGCTCTAGAGGACTGTTTGCTATTGTTGTAGTGTCTATGTTTCAGCACTAGAGGGGGCGCAAAGCTCAGATTTGTCCCAAGTCCCCAGTTGGTGTGTTCTTTAACGTGAATTTGGAGACCTACAAAACATGCAATCCTGTCCCAAATGCCTCCATGTCTTGGTTGTCTTCCATTTTGAAAAATACTCCTCTCCCTTTTTCCTATTATATATTATTTTACTCTTATAATATACATTCCGCTTACAGGAGGAACAATATAAGTTTGTGTGTCTGATTCATTTTATTTAACATAATGGTCTGCAGGTACATTCATTTTCCTACAGATGACTCAACTTTATCCCTCTTTATGGAAGAATAGTATTCCAATGTGCATAAATATCACATTTTCTTTGTCTACACATTCACTGATGGACAAATAAGCTGCTTCCAAATTTAACTACTGCAAATTGTGCTGCTATAAAGATAGGTACGGATGTTTCACTCTAATATGATGATGTCTTCATCTCATTTAGGACAATATCTGGAAAGGGAATAGCAGGGTCATATGTAATTTGTCTATTTTTTGTTTTTTGAGGAATCTGTCATTATTTGCATAGTAGTTGCATCAGTTTACATTCCCACCAACAGGGAAGGATTATTTTCTCCCCACAGCCTCCCCAACATTTGCTGTTAGTTGATTCATGATGCTAGCCATTGCCATATTTTTCTTCAGTGAGATGAAAGCTCAGTGTTAATTTGTTTCCTGATTGGCCAGTGCTGGTGAACATTTTTCATGTATTTCTTGGCCATCTCTATTTCTGCATCTGAGAAGTGTCTATTCACTTCAGATGGTCATTTTTTTTTAATTGGGTCTTTAAATGTGGAGAGTCTAAATTTTTGTTCTTTAAATATTCTAGATCATAGTTCATTGAGAAGTCAGTAAAAAAAAAATTTTTTTTCCCCTTCTGAGATTGTCTCTTCACTGTGTTGGTGGTTTCCTTCACTGTGCTTTTTAGTATGATGTGATCCCATTTATTGATTCTTAGTATTAGTTC